CAAACTCATCATCGGCGCCTACCTCTCGGATATGCTGAAACTCGACTCCCGGCGGTATTATGGGAGTAGTGAGACCTTTGTGTTTCAGATTTTCGAAGAAGGGGGGGGGGAGGAGGAGGGGAAGGGGAAGGGGCCGGCCGGCGATCGCCCGTCGCGCGCGCCGGAGCTGCGTAGTTTTCACTCGCAAGGCTGCAACGCGCAGTACATCAACTGCCGCGCGGATTCCATCGTGATCGGGGGCGGAGGGGGGGTGAGTCTTTATATCGATGATCGCGTGATGCACGGGGCGACGAGCGCGTGCCCGACCTTCGGATCGCCGCCGTTGACAGAATGGGCACCCAGCGGTGCCGAGGCGGGGGCAACCCCCACGACGAAAACGATGGGGTTTGATATCCGACGACTGGAGGTGATCGTCATGGCGTGAAAGGGAGGGGGGGGGGGGGAGTGGTGTAGGGATACGCTCTACGATGGAAATGAGACGCATCGATGCAGGAATGGGGGACAGAGGAAACGTAGCTATCGGTGATTCTTATTTTATTTTTATTTTTGCCTGTGTGATGTCATATTTATCTAGAGCTAAGTTGTGGAAAGGATTAATTTGGTCTCATTTCTTTGAATCCATGATTCCAATACCCAACACGGAATAAGCAATCCAAAACATTTTTATGGTGCCCAATGATTTTTCGAAAATCCAGTAAAGAAATATTTTAACTGATGAAAGTTCTGAAACGGCTTGAGATGTTTTTTTTTGTCTTCTTTATGTAAGGTTATAAAACTACATTTTTATTCTGACGTGCTATGAGTATTTTCTGCTTTCTCTTCAGCACCTTTATTACTCTCACGTAAAGGGAGGGGTATGGTGATGGTCGTGATCTTCACCGAGGGGATCTCATCGGCGTTCCTAAGGTGTGGGATTGTAAGTCTTTTCGAGTATATAATATGCATCAAAAGGAACATATTCTCAATTTATGTAACCGAATATATATGAATTTTCACATTGCTTATGGGGCCAAATACGTTTCATGCATCTTGTCTTAAGAAAAAAATACACATACCGATGAGCTATTCTAAATTTTTCGAAAGCAAGCCTTTTTAGACAACTTATCGCTCTGAGAACAGCAGCCGTACTCAAGAGTGGTGATGTACAAGCAACAAAGTGCATCTCTGTATACAAAGATATCACAACACCAAGGTGTCCCCTCAATGTGTAATTTCCGCCTCCTTTCCTCGAATTTTTGTCGCATTAGGACGTAAATTCTGTTTCGCGTTTGTTATGGCAGTGTTCACTTTCGCCTTTTCACGCATTTTCGCATGATTCTGCTGATCTCTCTATATCTCTCTTTCCCCTCCCTTTACATCTTGCTTTTCCATCACACATCTATAAACATCAAAAAAAACAAGGGATAACACATCAACTAGTTTTCCCCCTCCTCCCACACAGACTCAATTTTCGTATTTTTGTTGACTACCCACATAACTACTTAGTCTGCGTGTGTGCCTCGTTGTCTTTCTTAGTTTTCTTTTTAGAAAAGGATTTCGCTACATCGTTAATATCTTTCCTTCTCTGTCTGGTTGAAAGCTTACGAGCTGAGAAGCCATTTTAGATAGTCTAGGAGGAGGAAGATCAATTAAACCCACGCTCAAGCGAGGTTGCTCGCGCTCATCAAAGACAGCGACAGGGGGCTCACAAGCGTAATATACACACACCTTGGTATTATTCATAAAAAACAAGAAAATTTTTAAATACCTGTGTGCGCGTAAAAAAAGGTGAGCAACGTGACACTTCTGTTTTTTAATCATTAGGTTAACATAGAATCAGAGAAGTGGGGTGTCCCAAGCGATAATAATAGAATTAGTCTTGTGAAATTTTTCACAGCTCAGAATAGGCGCAGGAAGCAAGGGAATAAATAAAAATTATTCGTAACATACGACGGCGGGACCACCGAATTCTTTTTTTTCTGTTTGCTAATTTCCATATTTTTATTTTTCCAAAGCGCGTGTCTCTTTTTTTTCTCGTTTTTTTTTTCGGAGGGGTGTTAAGTGATCACAGTTTCCCACTTTTCGCGAATAATAACAACATTTTTAGAGTTAATAGGGTGTTTCTGAGAGGAGACCATCAGATATAAAATCGGAAGAAAAAAACTATCAAAAGTAACTGAATAGCACATAAGCTTATTTACTTTGGTGAATATTAGGCGTACACAACACCCATCCCTGTATTTCTCCTCCATCTCGTGGTTAATTCTCTCCAACAAAGCGGAGAGGCGGAATAAGTGATTAAAGGAAGAAGGCAAGGTAACATTTATAATTCATAATAATACGTTAAGAAAGGGTAAAATCATTCTGTAAAAAAACGGTGAGTTATTTGCTCGCTCACGTTTACAAAAGAAAAATAAATAGAAAACTTTATATATCTACTATTTTATTGTATTAATTTTATCGTTGTCCTTCATTTCGTGTTTCATATTGTATCAAAGAACTTACCTTTTCCACTCTAAAACTTACCTTTTCTACTTACTTAAAATAGGGAGTTTTTCTCGGCCGTAATCGAAACAGTACAACTATTCGAATCAGAAACTCCCATTAAGTCCTCCTACCCTTTCCCTCCACTCGAAACAATTTCAAAAAGAAACCAATAAACCGAATATATTTATAGAAAAAGCTCCCATCAAAGACGAAAAATCAAAGGTCTGGGATAAGTTGCACTTTTGCGTTTCCCTTAGACATTTGAGCCATTTATATTGTTTTACGCTTTTTTATTCTCTTTACTCCTCTTCCCTATTTTGTGTACTTTTTTCTTTTTTCTCTCGGTTCCCGTTTTTCCGAAACTTCACTTGTACTTATCCAAACAGATTTAAGAAAGAGCTTCTGTTTTTCTTTTTTTCCTTTTTTTGACTATTTGTGTTGCTACCTAGAATTTTTTTTTTAAATATTATTGTTGTTATTTGCTATAGATATTTTTTTTTCCCGTCGAGAAGGTCATGGCGCACGTTCGTCCTTGCAACTGCGTCGCCAGGCATCATCGGCATAACCCCTACACCCCTCTGAGTGTCATCACACCCTGTGCGATCAACGGAGGGGAGGCCACGCGGCCCTTCCGAAAGGATCCCGCCACGGAGGGGGCGCTCTGGCGCGCTCATCTCGCCAGCCTCGCGGGGGAGCCCCCCACCCACGGCCCCCTGCCTCCACCTTCGCTCGTTTACCTCCTCCCGCACTCCCCCCGACGGGCGACATCCCCGGCCCCGTTTGTCAGCCCCCCCAAAGGCTCACCGCGCTGCTGGGGCTCCTCGTGGGCGAGCACCCCACGAAAGGACGGCGGCCGAGAAGGCGACGACGAAAGGGGGGGGTCCCCTCCCGGACGACCCCCGCCACGCGTGCAAATCGAGCGGGATCGGCGGGGGGTTCGCCCCCGCCCGGGCGCTGGGGTGGCCCCGGAGGAGTCTTT